GGAAAGTGATTAATCATCTATAATATGATGTGAAAACATAAAAGAACTTACTGTTCAACAATTGAAAAAGTAACTCAAGTAATAAATCCAAATTTTTGAGGTTCCTCAAGAGTATCATTATTTTGCAGATTTTTCCTCATGTGATTTGTGATTATATAAAATAATGTAGGAAATGAAGTATAATTTCATATATAGAATCACTATGAAATTTAAACGATAAACCCATAATATAAAATAGGTATTGGGTATAGAATAATGTATGGGAAAAAATAAGAAAAAAAAAGGCAATTTATTAGTGTTTTAAAAAAATCCTAATACCCTTGAAAGAATTAAGAATAAAAATGTGAAATGAAAAATTTGTATTGGGTTTGTGAATTATCTCAATTTACCATGAAAATATATGAAAAAGAAATATTTGTTAAATAGAGTCCATAAAAAATAGTTAAATTAGTATAATTTAAATTAGGTTTGGATTTGTGTAGAACTCTATGTAATTAAGAAAATCGGTAATGTTACGTCGCTCGAAAAAAGTCCCCCCGAATCCCCCTAATCCCAGAAACGACGTCGTTTCTGCATTTTTTTTTTTTTTTCCCTGGTTCAATTAGAAACGAGGGAGAAGAAGAAGGAAGAAGGAGAAGAGAAGGAAAGAGGAGGAGGAGGAGGAGGACTGGAGGGGGCCATAACTACGGGGAGAAGGAGGCGGGGGCTGCCGGAGACGACGATCGGGTAGAGACGGGAGCTGCCGGAGACGACGATCGGGCAGAGGCGGGAGCTACCGGACACGACGATCGGGCAGAGGACGACGATCGAGCTCCTCCTCTTCCCTCTCTTCTGAACTCCTCCTCTTCCCTCTCTTCCTCTCTCTCTCTCTCTTCTGAAATTAGGGGGATTCGGGGGGGAGGAAATTAAGGGGACAAATCATTATCCTAAGAAAATATATACTGATGTGACTCTTTTAGAAAAAAAAAGTAAACCCTTATAATGTGCCACCTAATTATAGAAAAAACACTACTTTTAATAATATATATAAATAATCCTGATATCTTATCTATATTTAGTCATTTAAAGGTCTCTTTTATTAGTTTTAATAGGAATTCGTTTTATTAATAGAAATAAATAAATAAATAAATAAGGAAGAGATTTTGTACTCTATCTGTCTATCTTTTATCCCTAGGAAATACCAAAGGAAATAGATCCGATTCGCAAGGACCATGATTGGGAATTGTTTGATCGTCTTTCACTAAAAAAGAGGCAAAATATAATCAACTTGAATATATATACACACACACATATGATTTCCTTCTTCAATTTACGGAGTTTGTATTCTAAAAAATTGATTGTACTCTCTACTATATATATATATATATTAATATCATTTTATTTCTAAACTAAATTACTAAAAGAGATACAAAATCCTAAAATACATTTCATCATCTTCTCCACTTCTAGTAGCCTTTGCCAACCACTCTAGTCCACTTCCCAACTACTCTTGCTAACTACATCTCTTCTCTACCTTTAGCCGCCAAATCTCAACCTACCCCACCTTGTTGCCTTACTTACCGCTCATTGCAACCCCTCATTCTCTCTTTAACCACCACCTATAACTCCATTTTCTATCTTCTAGCCACCTTCCCCTACCTCCTATGTTCTCCCTAATGTCTCGGCTCCCCTACTCCTCCATACTCCACAATCCCATCCATTCCACTTGTGCAACTCCCTACTCCCTTCCTTGTTATGCATATTATGCCTCATAAAAAGCCCATGGCCCATGGGTTAGGTAGGCCTATTAGGTCTTTGGTCGGTCTAGGTTCGAGAAAGGCCTAACATATCCGGTCCTTAAAATATATGGACTAGGATTGGGTTGAATAGTAGGGCTCGTGGGTTGGCCCATGGCCTAGCCCATAAATCTAACCTATAATCCTGTAGCAAAGGGCCACACCATGTTAATAAGATTAAAATTGAGAAAACTTGCTGTTAGAAATGGTTTTCGAAAAAAATAGAATTTTTCCTCAACTTTGGTCTAATTTTTAGGTGGGACCCATGCGTCAAAATTGGTGGGTCTAAGTGGTAACGCGTTCTATGCCTGTAATAACCCCAACCCCAGATTAACGTTAATTCGTGCTTAGTTAAGCCTAACAATAATTTAGGAAGGATTTGGAACTAATTTGCATGAGTATTGCATCATCTTTTTATTTATATCTGTTAGGCGGAGAAAGATCTGTTCATATTTTAATTTCGGTTCACGAATTGAGAACCTTATCGGCATCCGAATCAGGAATCGGCTTGTGTTATGTGCCAGTTAGGATTTATAGAATTTTATGGTAGATTTAGTTAAAGTTCAGTTCGGAACGATTAAACTAGATTAAAATAATGCTATTTATTTACTTTTTGATCAATTACCACTTATGGACCATTTTAGACTCCACTAGCTCACATTTTCATTTCACTCCTCCATTCCTCTGATGCAAAACGTGAGAGAAAGAGAGAGAGTTGAAGTGAAGTTGAATTCAACAAGGGATTTGCTTGGAGTTTAGGAGGAATAGAAGGAATTGCATATTAGAGCCTTCACATTGAGGAATTCAAGACTTGAGTTAGGCATTCACCCTATTAATTATGGAATTGATTTGTTAATGTAAGAATTCTAGTGAATTAAATGGACTCATGTTAGGTTTAAGCTAAGATTGGTGAATTGAAGCTCAATACATACATGCATGTGTAATTCATAGCACTTGAGTTGTCCTCCTAAGGAATCCATGCATGCATGCACAAATTTCCATGTTTTGAGTTGCAATTCTAAGATTTCTTTCACGTATGTGTCAATTTCACTCATATTATAACCATTCAACTTATTTTCCATCAAATTATTAAGTTTGATTATGTTTTGGAGGGTTTGAATTCAAAGAGGTTCTTGCATGTTGAATTAATAGCATGTTCATAAAGTTCATGTTGATTTTGCACAAATTGGTTTACTCTTGGACCATGATTTCTTGAATTGAAGCTTTAAACATGTTGTTTTATGGGTTACCAAGTGTTTTCCAAAGTTTTGCACCAGGAAATTAAGTTTTGGATGGTTGAATGTTGAGTTTCATGTTTGGAGGTCAATCTGGATTTTTCAGAAATTTGACCCACGCTCGAGCGGGGACTTTCACGCTCGAGCGTGAAGCCTGAGTACATGCATTTCCGCTCAAGCGTGAAATGCATATACCCAGAAGTTTGTGTATTTTGTAGTCCGCTCGAGCGAGGGAAGCCACGCTTGAGCGAGGGTCTGTGTCACACGCTCGAGCGGGGGTCGAGCGCTCGTCGAGCGTGAATTTCATGCATGCAGCACTTTTTCATGAGTTTGCAGTTCGCTCGAGCGGGGAAGTCCACGCTCGAGCGGAGCTTCTTTATCTGCATGTCCGTTCGAGCGAGAAAAGCCACGCTTGAGCGTGGACCTTATCTTCAGCAAAATTTGAGAAATGGTTTTCAATGCATTCTTGCATCCTCATTCCATCCTAGGCATTTCTAAGCCATGTTTAAGACCCTTTAATGAGGATAAGAGATTAGAAACACACTGAGAGCCAACGAAATAAGTTTTGTACAATTAGAACATGTGTTTCAAGTGTGTATCTGTTATGTGTTATGTAGGTCACGTGCCGTGTCCTGTCTGACTAACCTGCTCCGTCTATTTGTCTCAAGGCCCACTGTGAGTAATAACTCTGTAAAGTTATGTTTAACTTAAGTATTTTCTGACTGGTATGGTATGATCTGTTTTCTGAAATGCTATCTTACGAACTATGAATGAATGTCCAATTTTCTGAAAAGTAATTGTGGCACCCTTAGTTCACGTGGTCCTCGCCCGAGGGTTACAATACCGCGGCCAATCTGCACGTGGCCCTTACCTGGGGGTAATAATACCATGGCTACTTGCGCGCAAGATATGGACCTTTATGGTCGTTGGTACCAACTATGCATGTGGGTCTCTGGACCAAATTGATCTGATAGCTAATGGGTGAACCACGTATGATCTTATGCAAAATCTGAATATAAACATGAGTGTGTATCTAAATCTATTTCTGTTTTGAAGTCTGAATATGTTCTGATTTAATTACTGGATCCTAACTTGTGCTGGACATCATTCATAAAACCCCTTTACTCTGTTATTATTCACTAGGCTTCCGCTCACAATTTATATTATGTATGTAGGTGAGCCGGCGGGTGATCAAGGCCAGAGTTGACGACCTTCTGTTCTGTTTTTGTCAGCCAACCGTTGTGCCTCCCGAGAAGGTTTCGATCGAAGTCTCATTATATGGCTGTTTTTGTTTCCATGCTAATCTCTGTAGCTGTTTTGTTAAGTCAGGTCTTGGGAAGTTCACTTCTGTGAATATCTTGTATATATGGTGTATCTGGACTGGCATGGTTATGCATATATAAATAAGTTTTTGAAATGTTCTGTCCCATGTACATTATCACAGCTCATTGGACCTTGTCTATTTTGTATTATTGCTTCCGCGGCCCCTTATTATTTGCTAATCTGTTCAAAGGCCATTGGTAATCCATGGATTACTGGCTGGTTACGGTGCTAAACCTACAAGGGCAGGTTTGGGTCGTGATAGAGTGGTATCAGAGCACGTGTTCTACCGTACACACAGGTCCGTATGAGCTTAGGATGTCCTAGTAAGCATTAGGGGCATTCCATCTGCATGTGTGAGTGTGTGGTAATTTAACTGACTATAAAAACTGAATGTACATTTGCGTCAAATGAATTGAAAGAAACGAATAATATTATGCTTGTGTTTATTATCATTTGATGTTTGTATAGTAAGATGGAGAATGAAAGGGGAAGTGGTGAAAGTGAATCTTCAGAGGCTCGCATGGGCCGAATGGAACAGATGTTAGCAGTATTGACTGAAACCTTGACACAACAACAGAGACAACAACCTTTGCCCCCTCCGCCTCCACCGGCACAAGCCGAGGCGGATAATAATGACATCATCAATCTGACACAGAAATTCATGAAAATGAAACCGCCAACGTTCTATAGTGGCATTGAACCTTTGAAAGCTGTGACGTGGTTGCTTGAGATGGAAAAATTGTATGAAGTATTTCCTTGTACTGAAACTCAGAAAGTCCTCCTAGCCACCTATACTCTGAAAGATAAAGCCCGAAGGTGGTGGTTACTGATCCGAAATGGCAATGGAAATATGACATGGGCACAGTTTAACGCAATCTTTTATGATAAATATTTTTCCCAATGCTTCAGGGATCGGAAGGTGTCCGAGTTTCAAGAACTTAAATATAGAATAATGTCTGTAGCAGAGTATGAAGCCAAATTCACCGAATTGGCACGTTTTGCTCGACATATGGTGGACACTGATTACAAGAAAGCACGAAAGTTTGAGGGAGGGCTAGACCTGGAAATATTTGACCGAGTGGCTGTCCTAAAATTACCTACTTATGTGGAGGTACTCGACAGGGCATTGACAGTAGAAGCCACAATAGCAGCTAAGAAACAAACTATAACACCAACAACAGAATGGAGAGGAAAGAGGACCAGATTTAGTTTCAAGAAAGGCCGGTCAGTTTTGAAGAGGCAAAATATAGGATCCTCCAGCAGCTCTAGCCAAAGTAACGGATCTACTCCAAACTGCCCCGACTGTGAAAAGAGGCACAAAGGTACTTGTTATCAAGCATCAGGTACGTGTTTTCGCTGTGGCAAGACTAGCCACATGGTGAGGGATTGCCCGATGAGATTCAACGAGGTTAGCCGTCCTATGACAAGTTCCACCAGGTCTGTTTCCGCAGCAAGACCAAATGCAAGGGTCGATGTTAGAAGGAATGCAAATAATGAAACATTGAGGCAAGAGAGAGTGTTCGCCTTTGTCATGACCTAAACCCGCCCCTATAGGTTTAGCATCGTAACCGGCCAGTAATCCTTAGATTACCGAAGGCCTCTGAACAGATTAACAAGATTAAGGGGCTAGCGGAAGCAAATACATAAATATAGTTGTCCAATAAGCTGTGCTGACTTATATGAACAGAATATTTAAAACTTTATATACATATTCAAATATCATTCATACATTATACCCACACACATTACAGTATTTTTAAGTACAGCCAATGACATCAAATCAAGTCTTATATATATAGAAACGATAGATCTTAAACACTGGACGCTTCGGGAACCTCCACATGAGGCACAATGGTTGGCTGACAACAGAACACAGATCCAGACAAAAGCCTTTAGGCTCGGGCTCCAGATGCTCACCTATACACACAATGAGCTAAAGCCCAATGAATAACATTAAGGTAAAGAGGTTAGTGAACGAAATCCGAACATATCATAAGTGGAAAACAGATCATAGCATAATCATCCTCATATCAGAACATAATAATGGCATATCCCATAGAACACATCACAGAACGTCTTCCAACTAGAGTAATCGGTTCTGGATACCGATTAAACACATATCACCACAATGAAGTGGCTAACGAGATCTCGTAATTACTTGTATGTCATGGACTCGCATTTTCATGCCGTCCCCCATGACTTGGGACTATCTATGGATGCCATAATAGATTTCAAACTTGGGATGTTCGTTCACGTAAATAGATATCATTTCAGAAATCATAGCTTATCACATTTCATTTGGAACATAATTTCATATAAACATATCTTTACGATAACGTTACTCACAGTGGTTCCAGTAAGCGGTCAATCAATCCTCGAGTTTTGACCTACAATCACAAAATACATAACACAAGCATGTCTTATCATTACACATTCATGTGGCCAACATGGCTTAGCTTTCATCACGTTGGTTCTTATTCTTATCACATTGCCTAACACACATACACACTTGCAGTCTCGAAACTTAGTACATTCTTTTCTTAGTGTGTTTCTAATCCATAACCTCATTACCATGGCTTAATTAAGGCTTAGGAATGCCAAGGATGCAATGAGGATGCCAAAACATGAGTTGGAACACTTAGGCAAATTTTCTGAAAATAAGGTCCCCGCTCGAGCGTAGACTTCCTCGCTCGAGCGGACATGCAAAATGAGAGGGGTAGATCGAGCGTGACTTCCTTCGCTCGAGCGACTTATAAACTTGGGAAAAAGTGCTGGTTGGTCACAATCCACGCTCGAGCTATAACTTCCACGCTCGAGCGGATCAACAACATGCGAAGGGTTCGCTCGAGCGTCAAAGTGGTCGCTCGAGCGGAGAGCTCATGTCTGAAAAAAAATACTGAGAGCTCGCATTCTCCACTCGAGCGTAGGTTTTCTCGCTCAAGCGGACTGTAAAATCCTGGGTTTTTCCAAAAACAGAGTTTGAGCTTCGGAATGCTATTTCAATGGCAAATTCGTACGTGGCTTGATCAAACACTTGGAAAGCTTCCTAAAACACAAATACATGATCATTTTCAAATGTTTAGCTCAAAACTCATGGATTTAGCAAATTTGAATTCAAAAGCTCATGCATGAAAGATTTTCACATTGTTTTCTTACTTTCTTCAAAACATGCAAATAGTGACCAACAACCCCATGAATTCTGAAACCATGGACATGATTAAAGTTCACATACATGCAAGGACTTTTAAAACTCAAACCCAAAATGATCAAATCAAAGATGATTCTACCATGGATACTCATGAAAGCTATTTATGTGCTCAAAGACCCATTTTCTTGCACTCTCAAGAAGGTAGCTCAAGACTCATGAAATCGTGATGCATGGAGGATTAGCTACAAAATTCAGACATAGAATCCTTACCTAGAGCTTGTTCCCAAAACATGAGAGGTGAATCTTCCTATTCCTCTTCTAATCTTCAAACTTTTGAGCTTTCTCACTCTAAGGCCAAATCCTCTTTCTCTCTAGCTGAATTCTCTCAGTAAGGAAATGCAGAAGAGAATGCTACAAACACTCTCACTCTCAGCTAAACAACCATAACACACACCCTCACACTCTGAATACACTACACGTGCATACACATGCATCAACCCAACACATCCCCAAGAGTTGCAATTCCCTACATTCAATATCACCAAATGCCCAACTCAAACTTCTCAATACCCCCACACAGATCCTCTGTACACACTCACTTAAGGGTTTCAATCCTCTACACTTCGCTTCATAAAATGCCTCCACACACTACCCACTTAATCACATAATAGGAGTAGGTTAGAGATAAATCATGCATCATCTTAGTTAGACATAAGTAACCTTAATCAGTCAAGGTTAGCCCACAATTCAATTAATCAAAATTAGTTCCAAGTATTCTAGTCAGTAAGTCCATGAACTCAAGTTCGGTTTCTAAAAGTATTTAGGCTAACAACTTCAGATTCTAAGTAGAAACCATAACAGATAATTCTAAGAATAACAGATAGAAAGCCAAATCATGAAGAATTACATAATAAACTCATAATCTATTCTATTAACTTAATTAGCATCCTTAATTACTGATTAGTAGCTAATTACGGGTTGGGGTTATTACAGTCTCTCCACCTTAAAAAGTTTGGTCCTCCAAACTTGAGTTAATGTAAGGTAACAGAAATGATGCCCATCATAAATGTAACTTTAACTCTTTATAAAACAGAAGCGTAACATAGACATGTTCCTGACCCAATCTCAACGTTATCTCGGTACCAGAAACAGAATCATAAATCATATACAGAGATTAGGGTCCGTATCAAAACAGAGTCTTATACGCATTCAGATTTTAATCAGAAACAGATTCAGATACGTGTTCATATTCATATTCTTGTCCAGATCATACACAGATGCCACAAGTCTTGCTTAAACATACATGGTGCGTTTATTAGCACAACAGAGCAGATACAGAACAAATGCAGACATAGTAGACACAGAACAGATACAGACACGTGATGGTCATAAATAACCAGTTCCATAAAGAAACGTCCGAATGCGGGTAACAGAACAAAACAGAAGCTGAGCCCCCGTGACAGGGCCTTCGGTACGGGTAACAGAGTGCAGACAGAAATAAGTTCCATAAAAGAACTCCCGATACCGGGTAACAGCTAACAGATATCACATAATACCAAGAGTCACACGAATACATATCAGAGGTTAGACAATTATTCATTGCACAACACATAATATTTCAGAAAACAAATCCCCTTTAGACATGCAGAAAACAAATACAGTTGAACACAACTTTACTACGTTATTAATCACATTACTTATATAAAGTACTACATCGGGGTCATAGATTCACACTGTTTCCATTTTCATAAGTAATTTCCCCCGTTAAGTTACAGAGATTTGATTATTCATTTCCGAGTCATTCATCCGGTCTTTGTTCAACTTGGTTTTCAATTCGGTAATCCATTACAGTTAGTCCAGGTCACCCAAAGTATAGCAGAAATACAAGGCAATTTCGTACATTAACCCCATAGCAGTAAACGAAATTCCGAAGTAATCATTCATATACTATTCATTGGCCTCAGTTTCCACATATTCAATCGTACTATGTGTCAACACAGAAGCAGTCATACTGATTACATATACCCCCAGGTAGTCAAAGTTTATAATCAACCAGTCTGTTGCCACAAATCTCATCAGTTTTGAAGTACAGTAACACCAAAACAATCATGCTCTAGTCAACCAAGTTCATGGTAGTAACGGTAATGTCGGAGTAATTAACCACGTGTCATGTATACGGTATTCCCATATTCCCCAAGCACAAGTTACCAAATTTCATAATCTCATTCACGTGTTTTTCCCAATCGGTTATAGGTATATAGTCAGAAACTATTCGTAATCACATAGCCTGTTGTTGACAGTTCACATTCTTCCTAAGGGTTCAAGATTGATTCTAATTCCCATTCGGTTAGTTCCCTTAGCAACACGGCCTTGCTATTCGATCATAAGCAATTCACAATCCCCCATAATATAATCAAATCAGATAGTAGCTCTCAATAAGGGTCTCCTCAAATCGAATCAATGAAAGTTCAATCAGGTCATATCAGATGAAAGTTCCACCCAGTCATATCAAATAGAAGTTCAAAACGTGAGTCATTAAACAGAAGTTCCATCAGTTAAACAAAGGTCTCATCAAACCACGGTTCTATCAGGTTAGATTGGGTGAAAGTTCTATCCTTACTATTTCCAAGCGAAGCACATTAGGTTCTATAGGTCATACTCCATTCACTTAGGTGCATAGTCAGTAGTTCTACAGTTGTTCTAAGTTCCTGGGTTCTCAAATCACATCAGAGTTATGTATCACAATAGTTCATATCGAAGAGTTCAGGTCATATACAATGTTACATTCTCCAAGTAAGTTCACATTTGGGTGCACAGGTATGTAATTGTTCATATCACGAGGTAAGCATCACAATCAATATAACAAGTTCCCAAATGAGTTTTCGTGTAAGCATAAGGTACACAACGGTGTATCACATAAAGTTTCGCTGTGGTACACAATAGCAGATCGTTATACAAAAGTTTCAAATCGGTCGTACAGTCGCTAAAGTATAGGCTCACTAGTCGAGTCAAACAGTCTTATCAAGTTGCAACAATCGTAGTTCACAATTTAGAGTTTGTCGCTTAGGGTCTTTACTTAATCACACAATTTTAGAGTCATAATCCTAACGGTCAAGTTATCAAAACTAATAACATATCGATCATTCCGAGCAAAGGTACAGTCATATAAGTACATGTTCAAAATCTAATAACACCCACAAGCATAGGTATGCATATACATAAGTCCAAACATTATTCATAGCATAGGTAGTTGTTAAACAAAATAGTCTAAAGCGTCACGCATATAGTTCACATCAGGCAGCAGGTCTCAAAGTGTTCATTAACCACGGTTCAATCCCATCAATTCTAATAGTATTACAAGCATGGAAACATACAGCCAGGTACAAGTCCAA